CGGGCGCGAAGCTCCTCGGGCCAGCTGGCTGCCTCCTGCCCAGCGTGCTCTCACCCTTTCCTCTTTACACGAGGATGAGCTGCAGAAATCCACCAGGAACAAGACGAGCCCAGCCTTTACTTCTAGCCGTCACAGTGGCGAGGGTTAATAAGACACCCGCATTTCTCAGTCACCTACAGACAAAATTTGGACCATGCTATTTAGGCCACTTTCTTGCTCCCAGCAGTGCTGTCCCACATTCAAACTAATTACCAGCGAGATCTATGCCGTGTAACGACTGCAGGAGCGGGATCACCTTTAGAGATTGCACAACCTTAAAGATGTCGATTGCGGATCTCCTCGTGTACTGAGGCGCACTGAGTTCTGTCAAGAGGTCTCTCCTCAGAGAGCCATAGTTCAAAAATGATACGCACAAATGATATCTTTTTCCATCTTCTGCTGAAAAAAAGTTTCATTCTTTGCATATCACATTTACAGTTTTAAGCTACAGATTTTCCTCTTCAGATCTACATCAGTAATTAAAACTACTAACTCCTTTCTAGCACAAAACCTAATTTATATTCAGCCCTAAATGACAGTATTGTTTTGCTGTTCGTCCTAAAACAACGGAACGCTGGATCCTTAGATAGGAACCAGTATTATACATGCTCTTTCTCATAGAAAATGAGTGTGAATTCTGACTAGTCTCAGGAATCCTATGTGGCCTTGTGATTGTGCTCTTCAGAGCTGGGGACACATCACACAAATCCAGGAAAGGTCGTTAAGACGCCAAAGTCCATCATCAGTTGGCTGAAATTCTAGCTACGGGGGTCCGCGTTTGAAATATTTAGGAAATACTCACTTCTCAAACTGAAAAACACTGGAAAGTTGCTGTTCTAGGTTGCTGTGTGCAACAAGCCAGAAGATTGTTCTAGGAGAAAGATCAGCATATACAGGACAAGGTTTGTACATGTAGGTAACAGCTTTTTTTTCAGACCAACTGGTACAGAAGGAAAAGTAGACAAATTTCTGGGTTGGCAAGATATTTTTTTTCGGTTCTGAAGCAGTAAGTTGAGAACAACTGCTTAGAGCGTAGATAGGGATGTATCAGTGAGACCAGCTCAGAAAGCAAAAGTGGAAACGGGGGTGGAGGGGGTGTTTTGGGGGGAAGAAGGAGGGCTCAGAGCTGGTGAGTTCAGGAAAGTTCCTAGGACTTGCTGGTTTTACCTGTTTAATGATTTTTCACATAACAGAAGAAAATCCTGTGTGGACAGAATCTTCCCAGAAGCACTTGTCCTACATTTCAAGCACCCCAAACCACAAAACTCATCAATAGAAGCATAATTCTCTGTGGCCCAAAACACCAGATCAGTTTAAACCGTGCCTGAGCAGTAAACCTAAGATGTGTTGATGTCCATCTGCTACTACAGCAATGAACGCTCCCTGCCATCAAACCATCCGCATCCTCCGATCTTACATTTGCTGTTTCGGGGCTGTAACAAACTTCATCCTGCACATGGCTGCTTTCCTGGTAGTTTTTGCTGCCGAAAATGACCACTCGGCACCAGCATGAACTCCCAGAGTCGGTCTTTATAGACCAAAACACTGTGCTGTCAGTGAGGGAGAGTTTCTCACAAGGCAGGATGTTCTCCCTCTGATCCTTGAGGGAAACTACAGAACTTGTCCCACAGAAGTGAGCATGGCAACTGGGTGTCCCAGCTCTGCCCAACACCCAAAACCAGGGACTCAGCAGAGGCGCTGGTCTGACAGTAGGCTGTAGTTTGCCTCTGCTTCCATCCCCTTGCCTACCTTTCTCCAGATCAACAGGCTGGAAGGTAATTGTCTCTCCTTCTTGCTTAGCTAATAAATGCCACTCTTTCTCCCATCCTTCACATCCTCTGCATCATTAACATCTTTAACATCCTCTCTATTCTACAGCGACCATCTTCTTCCTTTCGGAGCTGGCTTAATTAATAAATATCTTAGTAAATGTTAAGCAATTGTTCTTAACTGAGAGCTGCAGCTGGTGTTTCTAACTGAAGAAAAGTTTGTGTGGCCAAAAGTTTGTCTTATTTTTCCACCTGTATGTCTTGGTCTAATAAAAGATACTACTTCGTCATACAACCCTAGTACTGCACATCATGTCCACGGGAGACTCTCACTGTGTGTCTGCCTTTATCTTTTAATGATTCCTCAGGTTTCTGCCACGGGAGAATGCTGGAGAGAGGAGGCTGGACTGGATGCCACCTTTGCTTGGGTCAGTGCAATGGTAATCATGTTCTTACACAGACGAGTAGTGTCTTCCTTAAAGCACAGGCACTCTTCTTTCCCCTTCCCATGGAAATACGGTCTTCCATCCAAAGAGAAACCAGAATCTGGACATTAAAATCATACCTTAAAAGAAATTTCAACTTTTGCTTTGAAACAATGCACTGTTGTTACTTGTGACAGTAGACAGTAGGGGAAACTAGGACTCGGGCAGGTGGGAAGAGTACTGAGTTTTGTCCTCTTGTATTGTTGATATCCTGGTAACATCCTCACTGTGCTGCTGTTCTCAGGGTGCTGGCTTGTTCTGTTTTTACGGGGGGCAGGCACGACACAAATCTTTGGCCAAAAAACCCGAAGCTATCTAAATTTTTCATTTTGGAAAGAAACAAAGCAAAAAGTAGTTGCAGTATTTTCTTGTTTTCTTCAAAGTGGCTGGCAGAAATAGGATAGAGCAAATGCTTCCTTTCCACAGCATTTAAGGAAAACTTGTTTCTCTTGAGGAAATTTTTCAGCTTTATCTCACAGTCCTATGTTACAAACAGAGAATGCAGTATAAGCACAAACTATATTTGTAGTAAGGCTAGTGACCACCCAAATGAATAACACCTAAACACAGATGATAGCATAAATGTATGTTTGTCCACCAAATGAAAGCAAAAGTCATGCTCAGGTAATGAGCTTTTTAGCTGATTCAAGATTTCATTATTTAAATGTCAAATAAGGGGTTAAAGTTATGATCATCATAATGATTTTTGTCTCACGTTGAGCAAGAACCTTGACTGATGAGAACGGTTAACGTTTTTTGGAGGGTGAGGGCATTAGTTCTGTATGGAAAGAAAGGATTTTTGATAGAGAGCAGGATTCAAGTACATAATCTGTGATGGGCAGCAATGTGTATATTACATTCCTAAAACCTCTCAGAGTGACCTAGGAGGTTTCAGACGAGACTGTACATGTCCACAGTTCAGGTGGGTCTCACTTCGAGATCTCTCTCTTCGGTGCTGGCAGTGTACGTC